ACGCCATGTTGCATTTCTACCCTTTACCACACGACTACTGCACACAAGGGCGAGGTCCTAGCCGACATATTTGGGGAGTTTGTTGATCCATATGTGCATATTTCATAGCACAATGATTCGCCAGTACAACACACCGAAGATGTACCAATTAGGTCTACTACACAAGAGATACTGCAACAAATGATTTCTTTGAGGCAGTAGCTTATGATTTTGACTTTGTAGCCCAAGCAATCCCTAATCATCCTACACATGGTTTTGCAGGAATCCAGATAGGAACTCTCGATGGATACCATGGCCTCCCAAAAATTGGATATATATATATATATTACCTTAATGTGTTTATTTTGATATGTTGTATTTTGGACTGTATATTGATTTGTAGAGTTTGTTTATTGTGAGTTTTATGTATTATGGACTATGTTTCACATCACGAAATGTGTTTATTGTGATATGTGTTTTGCTTACGATAGTTTTAACAAGATTATATGTATGATAATAAATTATATCTACAGGGTACTGCAATAAATAATATAGAAATAATGACATGATAACAAAGGAAAGTACATTTTAAATAGCAATAAAGTAACAATAAGCATAATGGTTCCGAAACAAGATCATTGAATATTTTGCGTTGTAGGACAAGATCGTATATTGTGTCCGATTTTCTTGCACACACCACACTTACTACAATTTGAACTGGATTCTACCTAGTCTATCTCATTATGAATGTGGGATCTTTTTGGTCAATCCTTTGCACATAACCTTTGTTTATCAGGGAGGATAGTCGGTCCAGTATAAGGCAAAATGACTTCTCTGTTACCGATCGGGTACCATTGTTATGCAAAAACGTGATTAATATTGTAAAATAGAGTAGCATAAATCCACATAATTATCATGTGTGATAGACTGATAGTCATATTCTGACAAGCAGCCATGACATGGTTGTATAGCTATTTGAATTCTTGAAACTTTCCACATTGGCACATCATTTGATTCAAGTTCAAAGATACTGAATAACCCCTTCTCTATGTTAAGGGATTACATGATTCTTCCACTTCAAAGAGGGTTGAGTCTTTGTTGTAAGCACGAACAATGTGTGATGAGGCAATTGTTGCATTTCTTTCAATGGCTAGAATGACATTGTGACAAAACTGAATACTTGAAGCCACATCCACACTAGCTTTATGGCTTGACAAAGTAGTGCATGAGTTTATTGTAAGTGTGCTTCACTAAAGCAGTGATTGGAATTCCTCGATCTCCCTTGAAAATGCTATTTACATATTCAGATAAATTAGTTGTCATATGACCATATTGACGTCCGTCAACATCATATACATGTTACCACCTAGAGACTATTGCTTTGAAATTATTCCAACATAACATCAAAACTAACCTGAGAAGGACTAGCATATACGATAGGATGTCACTTATTGAAAAATGATAATAGTCCTTTAGCTAAACTACATTAGGAATGTTGAAAGTCAAGGCCACCCCTAGTTTCATCAAATCTTGCTTCCAATTTACAATCTTGAATCTTTGATTGGAGTTTCTCGCAACATGTCGGACGAAAAAAACGTGATACACATTTAGAGACTTCCAGTCTAGATAAGGATTTGTAACTGTCAATAATATGCTTCGATGTCAATCGAAAATGAAGCATATGATTGTTTTTTTGAGTTACATACAAACGTATAGAAGCCAAAAAAATATTCCTAGGCCTCCAAGATTTTACCTTCTATGAATGCAAATGCCAGTGGCAGTACCTCATCATTTCCATCCTACGTTGTGGCAATCATCAACATACCTTTATACTTCCCATATAGGTGTGTGCCATCAAATTGGATGACAAGTTTACAAAAGTTGAATTCTTCACAACATTGTCTGAAGGTCCAAAAAACTCTATTTAAAACCTGATAACCATTAATAACTCGGTGATTTACCACAAAGTCATTTGTTTGGATGTGGTAAACAAAACATTCAGAAAAATGAAGCATGTAATCAAACCACCTCAGCACATAAATAGAGGGTTTGTCTCAATCGCCATGAATTTTTTCTATGGCTTTTTGTGTAGCCTTCCATGCTTTCCTGCATGAAACATTAAATCCATAATTTCCTCGGATCCTTTCTTGTATCAACCCAACCAATACCGTTGGTTCTTCCTTTATCACATCTGTCAAAATGATGTATCTACTATCGATTAAAACTAATGAATTAATACATCTAAAACAATACAACTTTAAAAAAAATGATCACACACCTAATACAACTGAAGCCATGAAGGCAGAATCAAGTTGTCTGTAATCTTGGGACATACGATGAGGTCCAACCCATATGCTCACAACCCATATTGATTCATTCTTAGGTTTTATTTCCCTTATTCACTATGGACATCTAGGATCATGGTTTCAACACCTCATCAATAGCTTCATAGTAATATTGTCGACTACCTTAGCTTCCTAATAAGCTTTCCTGTAAGAAATTCCATCTGCATTGCTTTCAACTCCATCGCCCTACCCTGCCCCACTTTTGAAAGTGGGCTGAAAAACTCAGCCCGCCCCACCCTGTTTGGCGGGTTGGCCTGCTAGCCCGAGCCTATTTTACACTGATCCGCCTATACCCGCCATCAACCCGCATAAAAATGAGCCCGCCTCGCTTTTGAGATGGGTTCAAAAACTCTGCTCGCCCCGCCCCATTTAGCGGGCGGGGTGGGTTGGCCAGCCTAACTCGTTTTGCTGGCTCTACTGCTTTCTTAGATTCAAATTCTTGTTTCCTTGTATTTAAATTCTTGTTTAACAAACAACTTATCACCCAATGGGCCATAGACCGTGATACTCCCTCTAATTGTATGTTTGATCCTTATTCGGATACTCACAATTAATGTATGAGTAATGAGGAATGTCATTCCAAAAAGAGTTACACTATATTACCTGCATGACAGAGATCCAAATTAGTAGTTAAATGAACAATGTAAACATTAAAAATAACTGTGAATAAGTCCATTGTTCAACTAACCTTCAACAAAGTTTTGATACCCAAATACATTAGTTGATGATGATTCTTGAGTGCTATTTTGAAATTCAGATTGTACGACAAGTGGATTAGGATCCTCATCCTGCTCAGAAGCTAGATGAACGTCCTCGTCTTCTTCTTTGTCATCATTACTGTCAGGAACCCGCGTCAAGATGTCTTTATCCTGAATTATAACATTGTTGTGCATTCTCGGGGGTATAGATGATGATGCATGCCTATTGACATTACCATGCCCGATTCATATCAAGCGACCGAATCAGTATTGACAAATACTCAATGTTTTCAACATGTATGTATAACTCATCAAACCTCTTTGCACTACTACGATCAAAATTCCTTTCAAATTGTTCTACAAATATATTTAATATAATATCAACAAAATCATTATCAATAATTGATATAGTTGTGTATACACCATTGACAACAAGAACTCTAATTGTCTCTTCATAAATATATTGATTCCCTTGCAACCCCAATTTTTGATAAATTTTGTCGTTAAACTCTTCAAAGCTAGTGTCACGTGTAATACACTTTGTTCTTTTCTCGCCTTCAAATGTTACACCATGACAACCTACAACTTTTCTACCATCGTAGTATATGAATGCATAAACTATTTCTAACTTTGAACTCATTTTTGTTGCCAAATGAGAAAGAGAAACTAAGAAATGGATACTATTAGTGGAGATTGAGGTTAAGAGATGGACACCAATGGAGACTATGGTGTTTTTCATTTGTGGGGTTGGATATATATTGAGCAAGACGCGCATGGGTAATATGCATGTCTTTTGTTGCTAATCCAACGTCCATATTATTGCCATGTGTCAACATCTGCTGTAACGCGCATCCTACGTAAGTGCATCTTGGACTCGTATCTGGTTGTAGCACTTTTAGTTGACAAGGACACACATATACATTTGCCGCATCTATATACGTTCATACGTAGGGAGCGAGACTCTTGCCAAAAACGTGGCGTCCCTATGTTCATATCTTTGTGTGTTGCGATATGAAACGCGTAGAACAAAGGTGGGCATCCTAATGCGAGACTTATTACATTATATGGATAAATAATTTTGCCAAAGACTTAATCTAATGCAATGTTACTGTTTTGCATTTAAATGGTCAAAAATCCTCATTCAACTTCTAAGTATGTGAAGGGTGTGCATGACAACCTTCTCATAATTAATTTATTTTTTAATTTCTGCTCCCGGGAACAGAAATAGATAGAAAACTCGTTTGGTAAAATCAGTTTATTTTTCGTTCCCGGGATGAACCAGGCACAAAATGAGAAACACTTATATCTCTCAATTACTCTCCACCAGTACCATCATCACCATCGCCACGACTATCCTAACACGACCACTGCCACCATCGTTGTACCACCACCACCACCATCATTACCACCACCACCACCACCACCACCATCACTGTCACCACCATTATCACTACCACCATCACTAACCACCACCATCATCATCGTAGCCACTACCACCATTACTACCGCCATCGCCGCCGCCATCACCACCATTACTGCCACAACTGCCACCACTACACCACCGCATCATCATCGTCACCATCGTCGCAGCCACTGCTGTAACCATCACTACCATTGCCGCCACCGCCACCACCATGTCATCACCATCGTCGCAGCCACTGCTGGCACCACCACCACCACCACCGTCGCCGCCACCACCGTATCATCATCATCACCATTGTCGCAACCACTGTTGTCACCACCACCACCACTACCGCCGTCGCCGCCGCCATTTTGCCACCGTTACCACCACTACACCATCGCCACTGTCACCACCACCCTCGCCACCATTATCACCATCATCGCTGCGGCCACTGCTGTCACCACGACCACCTCTACGTCACCGCCATCATCACCACCACTACCATCGCTGTTACCACCATTATCACTACCACTACCGCCACCACCATCACCACCATCGTTATAGCCACTACCGTCACCACCACCACCACCACCGTCGTCACCACCACCACCACCACGATGCCACTACTACAACCACCACCGCCGCCGCCGCCGTCGCTGCCACCACCACCACCACCACACCATATGAAAGGGAAAGTGATGATCCGAATTTTTTTTTATGCTTAATAAGAATGGTTTTTTATTCTATTATTTGTTGTGTTATCAAACACAATTCTCATTCTCAGAATAAAAATAAAACATGTTATCAAACACATTTTTTTTTTCAGAAACTGTTCCAAGGCATAGAAATAGAAAAAAATTATTTCTTTTCAGAAACAATGCCAGGGAACAGAATGGTTGTCATGCACACCCTACGCCACTAGGTTTGGTCTAGTGGTGAGGGATTTGGATAAGTTGTATTAGGTTGTGTGTTCAATTTCCACTTGTATCTTAAAAAAACTTCTAAGTATGTTTCCCAGTGTCAATGCCTAACACATTGATCTGAACACCCAGTACCTATTCATAATCGACTGAATAACAAGAAAGAACAAAAGATTCTCTTATACGCCACCAAAAATTGCACAAGAACACCTCTTGACATCTCATCTTACTTTCAATCCTGAGGAGGCTGTCTCTACTTTATCTTCCATAATTAATTTCAAGAAGCCATATTGGGATGTCCGGATTATTGGTGACCTGGGATCCTCCTCATACTTAGCATATGCAAATAAAGAGTTATACTCTGTTTTGCAAATAAAGCCTATTTAACAAACATGATTAGATTGTTTGGCATATAAATCTTAATGTCCTATTTATTTTTTTAAATTAAATAATTTATTTTTCATACCCATTTTTTATACATGACTCTTTCTTCAAAATATTTTTTGTTGTTTTTTTCCCATTTGTCCTCCTATATTTTTAAATGGTTCTATAAATTTTGTTTTAGAATATGATCATAATTTGATGTTACTTGCAGTTGTAGGTTCTATTATCACTAGTCTAGGATATGACAAGAACTGTATTGACCTATTGCCTAAGATTACAAGTGCATCTATTATTATTGTTTATATTGGATTTTTAGTATTATATGAAAGTGTGTTTTCTATTTAATATAATCTAGAGTAAATACCCTTTTTCGTCCCTAGAAATTTTCACAAGCACAATTTAGTCCCTCGGTATAAAAAAGTCACATTTCAGTGTCTGATTTTTGAAATAAAGGGACACGTTTGTCCTTCTGTTACATGGAATGTGACGGCCGACCTGACGGAAGCCAACTGGAACGTTAAGTGGCTGAGTCACTAACATCACAGCCACGTGGAGAGAAAGGAACGACGTCGTCTTACATTGGAAGGCTGTATCAGGTGTGTAGAAGGGGACGATGTCGTTTTTGGCATAGACTTCTTGAACCTTTGTTGTTGACTCAGTTAACACAGTCAGACAAGTAACTTGTCCATACCCGCCATTTCCTCCCCCATTTCCTCAGCTCGTGAGCTTCATTTGCGGTGAAGGTTGGTGACCTACGGTGCTTTGTTGTTGTACGTGGCTTCTGCAGTTGCAAGCTTTTGGAAGTAGTGTGGTTTAGGGTGAAGATCCTTAAAACGGTTGTGACTCTGGTGACATTCGTGCAAGGTACGTGAGAGAAACCCTTTCTTTATTATCTGTGGTCCCTCTATCCTTTTAGTTCATTGTGTTTTTGCTTAATATGGTCCCTCATGTGCGGTTAAGGGCAAGAGATGGTTAGGGTTTTTTTTGATGTGGTCCCCTTTAGTAGAATATTTTTGGAACTTGTTGCATGTGGTCCCCCTGTTGTTATTTTAAGTTGCTATGTGTAGTGATTACAAAAAAAACCCCAATTTTTTAGCAATGCATCCATTTAAAATAACCGAGTGTGTTACAGTTGTATAGTAATATTGATAAAAATTGATTGGTTGTATGATATTGTAAATTAATATTAAGGTAGCTTAAAAAATGATTATGTTCTGTTTTCTATGCAGATGGATGAATATATAGTCATAAGATATCATCATGGGGGTGTGTTGGTTAGGAATGACAAAAGAAAGCTCACTTATGTAAATGGGAGAGTGGATGACTTACATAAGATGGATGCAGACTATGTCAACTTGCGTGACCTTGATACTTTGTTCAAGGGGTTTGGCTATCAAAGGTGTAAACAGGTGTTGTGGCTGAAGCCTAGTGAGAGTGATTTGGATGTTGGGTTATGTGTTCTTGAAAAGGGACCAGCTGCAAGCAAGAGAGGGATGAGAGTAGCAGCACCTTCACATGCAGTTAATGTGAACATAGCAGCTCCACATGAAGAGGAGATCCCTCTGAGTCAAGGAGGACCTTCAAGGAAGTCCCAGGCAGCTGAGGAAGCCATTAGGGGCAACAGCCCACCACCTACTGCCCCACCACCAGCAGAACAATTGTCAACTGAAACTGTCAATACAACAAGCAGTGGCACAAGGAGCAGGCTTATGGCATTCATGGCCACACCTGGGTTTAGGACACCAAGACCAGCTTGAATGAAGATGATCAGTTTTTTGTGCAGGGGTTCAGTTTTTGTTGTATAGGCAACAATGGTCCTTAGTACCCAATTTTTTGAATTGTATTAACTGTCAGCTGTACCCCCATTATTATTTTGTATTTAAGGCCTTTAGGTGAAGTACTTGCTTTTTTTTGAATCACAGTATGTCTCTGTATGGGTGTATTTTGAAGCAAAAAAAAAAAAACAATAGGGGAATAGTTCTCTTTTGGGAAGTCCTGTAATTTTAGAATGTAATTGACTACAAGTTCCTCCTTCAATGACTACAAGTTCCTCTTTTTAAATCATTTTTTCCCTTTGCTGCAATATGTCTCTGTATTGCACTTTTTGAATCTCTATATGAGTCTTTTTGATTCTTAGTATATGTTTTTGGAAAAAGTTTGTGATACATTGAGTTACAATGCAGGTGTTAAAAGTGATGAGGTTGGTATTTGCTGGTTTGAAGTTGAATATGTGGTTTGAGTTACATTGCTACCATTGGGAATTTGCTGGTTTATGTTTGTGTACTGTCAAATTTTTTACTATAATTTCACTACAGGTCATGTTTGCTGCATTGGGAATTCGGTTCTCAAATTTTGTCTGCTACATATACAGGTCATGTTTGCTACATATGCAGGTCATGTTTGTTTTTTTGCTGTTTGTTGTTTGCTACATATGCAGGTCATGTTTGCTACATATGCGGGTCATGTTTCACTTCAGCTTATGCCTACTGAGACTTTTAATTGTTTGTGTTACTGGCATACCCTTTTTGCTCTAAACAGCTCATGTCCATTTTTTAACTATCGGGGACCAAATAGGGCCCCTATGGCATTTGTCAGGGACTAAATTGGCCCCCGATACAAATTGTCAGGGACCAAATTGGGTTTAGTTTTTCATCATTAGATACCAATGTCCACTTCTCAATTTCCCATTTGCAACAAGGATTTGACTGGATATTTCACTACATCCAACTGTCATTTATCTGTAATGTCCATGTACCACCACATAACATCAGTCCACCCTCACTATGCAGATAAAAATGCTTATGCCCCATCATGACAGTGGAATAGTTAAAAGGAATAAACTTCATATGATGATTGCCATGTGGGCTATATTACTCCATAACTTAGTTAAATTGCTATTGAAATAGGGTCTTAGTATATCATGAATTTACCAGTATACACAAAATCACATTTTATAGCACAAAAAACAAAAATACAAAGCCATATAATCATGGCATCTTGTGAACTTTAATCATCAAAAAACAGAACTACATTGTCATTACATTTCATTGAAGAAAAAAAACATTTCGTTCACTACATTTAATTGTTACAACAATTGCAATCAAAAAACAAATCATCAAAAACCCTACACAAGCAGCAACTAAGACCCTAGCTGCCCTACCAACATGCTTAATTTCCTTCTCCATCCTATCTAACTCCTCCACCATCTTCAGGTATAGCTCATTCAGCTTTCTTTCCTGCACCTTAATACTCAGTTCTTGTTCACTAATCTTCACACCTTGGTCATTCAACTTAGCTTGCAATTGGTCACTCATCATCATGTCCACATACTGAAGCTTGAAATCCATTTCAGCAACATCTAAACTCCACCTTGTTCATTCTTCCATCTTCAAGCTCCAGCCTTTCATTACATACATCATCTACCCATCTAAAAAAATTACAAAAGGGCTTCTTATCCTGCCAAAATTGCAAACCACAGTAAGCAAATATTCCAAGTTATTAAAACTCAATTTACAAATGTATACCTTGAAATTAGGGCACCCAAAGAATGCCCTATTTGGGTTTCTCTCTGTTTTGGAGGTATAGACGATTGTTTGCCTCCCACATTTGCACCTTCGACCGCCAGTCCGTGAGGTTGTTCTACACCCAAAAGACGTACTCCCACTTGATCCCCCCAAGCCAGATGACATACTCATCTTCTTCTACGCACCAGAAAATAGCCAGTAAACACCTTCTACTTGACACTCTTTTCAATCTTCATCGTGGGGAGTTTTTGGGGGTTTTTTTGTTCATGGCTTAAGCTGATTTAGGGTTCCTAATTTGACAGGGACTAATTTGGGTCACTAACCCTTTCATGCAAGGGTCACCTGTCCAAACATTGGGATAGACACAAGGCATCTATCTGAACGACGTCGCTTTCTCTCCACGTGGCTGTGACGTTAGTGACTCAGCCACTTAACGTTCCAGCTGGCCTCCGTCAAGTGGGCCGTCACATTCCATGTAACAGAAGGACAAACGTGTCCCTCTTTTTAAAAAATCAGACACTGAAAATGTGACTTTTTTATACCGAGGGACTAAATTGTGCTTCGTGAAAATTTTCAGGGACTAAAAAGGGTATTTACTCTATAATCTACGATGTTCAGGTTGAATACTTAATTTTGCATAGATAATTTATCTTTCCTTAACTTTAAAAGTATTTTGAAGAGATTTATTGATAGTCACAAGAGGTTTTCCTGTTTATTACCGTCTTTTTTATTTTGAGTTACAAAAGTATTATGTTACAAGAATAAACACTAATTTTCCTGCAGAGATAGAAAAGAAGAGAGAGAAAGTGACATGACGAAAGAGAAAAAAATTATAAACCCCACCCACGTCTTCATTGTTTGTGCAGGAAAGTAATTTTTCTTCCTGCTGTATGATATTTATATAACCTCTTTATTTTTTAAGCAATCCATCTTTGACTTATTACCAGTGTTGTAAAATTAGGACCGGATCGGCCAGTTCAACCTGAAAATTGATAAACTGGTCATGCGACCGGTCCGAGTAGCATATTGGATCGGACTTGCAGATGAACGGGTGTGAACCGGTTTGACTCGGTGCAACCCGACCGAGTTTTGCTAAAATCAGTGACACGTCGATTTAAAAAATACTTCGGATATTCCGTTACCGATAATGTCCCAATCAATCTTCACAGAGAAAGGGGGAGGAGAAGTAGAGACGACTATGTATTTTTTTTTTATACAGATCAGAGGCACAACCCCAAAGAAACAAAAAAAAAACCTAAAAGAAATTAGAAACGAAACCAGAAGAGAGAAAATCATAAAACAAACTAGAAAATAGACAACAGTGGACTAATCAGCGTAAACCAGATCAAGGTTTGAGACCCTTTGCTATTTGCTGGTTTCGTTTTTGGTTTTCGCTAAAACCAGGGAAGAATCAATAGAGGCAGCTACTGTTTGTTTTTTGAACTGAGATTGGAAGGAAATGTGACATGTGAATATTAGGGTTTTGGAACATTTGGGCCGATTCATTCTTTTTTCAACTCAATGGGACAAATCTAACTTCACTCTTCTTGTAGACCCACAAAGGAAAATTTAATAATTTTGAAATAACTTTTATAATACATATTTTTTCATTTATCATATTTTTTCTATTCACATGTATGCAACTTTATTTTTATTTATTAACTTATTTATGGTAATATGTTCATATTCATTTTAATTTAAAATAAAAAATTTATAATCAGTATCCCCAAATTAAAAATTAAAAATTATATATATATATATATATATATATATATATATATATATATATATCTGAGTCATACGGTTGAACCAATGACTCAACACTCTGACCAATTCGATAACCAGGTCGATTTTTATACATTGCTTATTACAATTTAAATTTTAATAGGCCTAATTGGTCTTGTGGGTCATGCCAAGCCTTTCAATCTTTAAAAGTAGGTCGGGCAAATTCTATAATTTAGCTTTTATTAGTTTAACAGATCATGTCAAAATCAAAATATTTTATATAATTAAGATTGGTTTATTTAGATTAAAGTCCAACCCATTTACACCCTTACTCATAGTTAAATTTATTTCCAACAATAACAACCTCCTGTCTATTCCTCATTTATAAGATCAATTTTCATCAGTTTAAATGATTTCAAAAATTAGCTTCACGTTGTTAGGGATGTACATGGGTCGAACCGAACCGGAATTTTTGAAAAATCGAACCGAATTGGTTTAAATGGTTCTGTTCGGAAGTTGTTCGGTTCGGTTCGGTTCAAAACTGGTTCGGATCGACCCTCTTTTGAAAAGAAAAAATTTAAAATTTAAAAATAAAGTTATAAAAATTAATTTGGTTCGGTTTGAAAATGGTTCAGTTAGGTTCAAAAACGGTTCGGTTCATAAACCGATTCTAAAAACTGATTCGGTTCATGAACCGGTTCTTTAAAAACCAATTATTTTATGGGAAGGTTCAGTTCGGTTCATGATTCGATTTAATTTTTTAGTTATTTTGTAGACCCCTACACGTTCTCCTTAGGATTGCAACGTTTACTACTTGTAAGTAATTTACTGTTCTACTCTTTTTTGGCTGAATAATTCTTTTTTTACCTTTCTCCAAATTCCTTTATATAACAACCAAAACCAAAAAAGTACGGGGGTCTACCAATGGCCTAAAGACACATGTTAGAAAAATCAATAAATAGTATAAAACAAATAAATAAATAAAAATTCAAGACAGGTGGTTTATTCCTAACTCATTAAATTGTACAAAACGTACTGTAATAGTAGTAAGTGATCTACAAGAAAGCAACAAAATAGTACCTAACTAACTCTGAATTACCAAAACGCATCATCCTCCAATGCCATATGGGTAGTCCCTTAGAATTGGTTCAAGGGAACGTTCCTACCGTCTCCAATGCATTAATTATTGCCTTTTTTTACATGTTCAAACCGACACACCCTCTTACTCTCTTCCTTAATAATTCTTCACGGGCATTATATGTTCCTTGTAACTTCATCTCTTTGTGCCTATAAATCCTTAATAACACACCAGACCCAACGCGTGTGTTCACATTCACAAGCAAAACAAAGTTTCATTTTTAACCCCACAATGTCAACCCCACCAATGTCCTTCTTTGCCTTCTTTCTCTTCCTCCTTGTACCATTACTCTTAGCTCAAGCTCCATCACATGCCCCTCTTCCTAGTTCTTCCTCCACAGCTTGTAAATCCACATTGTATCCAAAACTATGCCGTTCCATTCTCTCAACTATACGTTCCTCACCTTCAGATCCCTACCACTTGGGAAAGTTCTCTATTAAGCAAAGCCTCAAACAAGCCAAGAAATTGGCCAAAGTGTTTGAGAACTTCCTCAAAAGGACTCACTCTTCTTATCTCAACCACGCTGAGGTTGCAGCACTAGAAGATTGCAATGAGCTCAACCAGCTCAACGTTGATTACTTGGAGTCACTCTCGGAGGAACTGAAATCTTTAGATTCATCCAACACAGAGTTGGTGGAAAATATTGAAACGTATCTGAGTGCTGTGGCCACTAACCACTACACTTGCTATGATGGATTGGTGGTGACCAAAAGCAACATTGCTAATGCACTTGCGTTACCTCTCAACAATGTTACACAATTCTATAGTGTGTCACTTGGCTTGGTCATGCAGGTTCTCAACAAAAACCTCAAGAAACATAAGACCCGCAAACGTTGTCTTCCCACCAAGGCTCACAAGGTTAGACAGCCGCTTGAAAAGCTCATTAAGGTAAACTTATTTCTTTCTGTTTTTGCACTTTTCAGCTCATTAAGTTTTTGTATTTTTTTTTTTTTTGGTATTGTTTTCTTGCTATTTTTGGTTATCTTAATTGGTTTATTTTTCCACTCTATGTTGATTACTAATATGTTGTGCTACCAATTTCAATCATGAAACCATGTAAAATATTTTAACTATTGTCTAATTATACATTGTCATATCATTAAAAGAATGGAAAAAGTATATAATGTTACTTTAAACAATTTTATCTAATGTTCACATAAACGACGTCGTTTTGGGTTGAAAAATTAAAAAATTAGGATCATAAAGATTATTATAATTTTGAAATAAATTAAAATTATAATACACCATAATTTTCTCTTAAGACGATGTCATTTCAATGAACATTAGACAAAATTGTCTAAAGTAATTTTTTTTTTTTTTTTTATAACAAAAGAATTTGCATAAAATAATAACTATATCTGTATTTATAATAATGGCAACACATGATTGTAAGGTAGCATTTATGATGGATTAAAATTACACAATTCATATATTGTGTCGCCGGCATCTTAATTTTTTTTTATCCGAATATTTAATTTTGGGGAGAAGAGTTCGTGATCCAATATTGTTAACTATATTAACTTAGTTCAATGATATTATTTATATGAGAATTGAACTTTTAATTTGTATCAAAATATCAAGAATTGAAGTAGCATGTTTAAATTTAACCAAGGATCAAACCCCCTCTCTTTATTTTTGTTATATATAATGACCGGCTGATATATATATTCATTATTTTGTTATGTGTGTGCTAATGACTGCTGGCTAGTACTGTTTTAAGAACACAAACAATTTGCTTAAATTAAAATACAATTAAACATGCTTTCACCTGGCCTCATGGTTGGGTCAAAAGCTGAATTCAGGGTTAGACAATAAATTAAAAGTTTTGAGCCAGAGCTAATTTCAGCTTCGAAGATCAATTAGTGTATTTAAAAATGTAACAAAAAGGCAAATCAACCTGCAGATCCATGGATGGTTGGTTGCGGGTCAACCTGGTTGTTTTTAAACCGTGAGATAATTTAATAATCTAACAACTCATGATCAGTCACGCGGTTGGTGCTTGCAATAAACCATGTGCAACTTGGAAGTAGCTGCGTAAATGTGTTAAACGACCTATTTATGACCCGATATTAATAAAATTAAACAGATTTAAACCTTGAAATAGTCCTACTTTTATAAGACTTGACCTATAATCCTCCATGCGAGCTTATATCCTTTTTTTTTTTTTCATTGTTTCACAACTAATTTGTCGAGGCGGGTCCAGGATTAAGGCTTTAAACCCCTCCCAAAGGTGGTACTGGGGAGATTTGAGCTCTCACCCCCCATCTGCTTAGTTCCCATGCGCCAACTGAGTTACAACTATTTGGTTATATTCTTTTTTTTAAATTAAAAAATAAATAAATAATTTAATTAATAAAATACTATTATTTTATTTATTTTTTATAATTCTTGTTATGTATTAAAGGCTTGATAGATTTCAATAGGCTAACAGGAGTGTGCTAGACTATTTGACTTTTTTAAATATAAATGAGACTAGATTTATAATTTAGTTTACACTAGGCTAATAAATCAGATCAAAGTCAAAATATTTTATATAGACCTAACTTATTTAAATTAAAGTCTCATTCAACCCAACCATTTATACTCTTAGGCTTTGTTTGGGAGTTTGGAGGGGAAAGAAGGGAATCCAAGGGGGAGGGAAGGGAAGAAAATTAGAGGGTATTCCCTTCCCTTGTTTGGGAGTTAAAAAAATGGCAAGGGAGAAGAGTGAAGGGTTAATGACATATTTTTACCATTTTAACCTTTTTTAAAAATTAATATAATTATTACATTTTACAAATTAAATTAAATTTAAAATTTCTAACAAAATTATTTATATACTTTTCACACTATTACAAAAGACTATATTTTTGACGAAATTTCTACGTTGCAAACGACGAAAATTTCGTCAAAAAATTATTTTTTCTTCGGAATACTTTTCGTCGAAAAGCGACGAAATTTTTTCTCCTATAAAATTTTTAACAAAAATAAATTTTGTATCAAAATTTTTGACGAAATTTAGTTTCCGTCAAATGTTTTGTCGAAAATGATTTCCTCCATCGAATGTTTTAAATGAAAAAAGAATTTCGTCAAAAATTTTGAAAAAATATTTTCTGTTGTCAAAATTTTCGAGGGAAATGGTTTATTCGAAACTTTCGACGAAATCTAGATTCTGTAAAGGATTTTGACATAATATTTTTTGTTCAAAAGTTTTTATCGAAATATTTTTCGTCAAAAATTTTTACGAAAATATTTTTTGTTGAAATTTTTTGAGAGAAATATGTTCCGTTGAAAACTTTGGTGGAAATATGTTTTTATCAAAAAATTTGACAGAAATATTTTCCGTCGAAAATTTTCATTATAAATGTGTTTCGTTAAAACTTTCGACGGATATTTTTTTTGTCAAAAAGTTGAACGAAAATATTTCCATCGAAAACTTTTGACAATTTAAATTCTCTAACGAATTTTGATGAAAATTTTTTTCCGTCAAAGATTTTTAATGGAAATGTGTTTTGTTGAAAATTTTGATGGATTTATTTTTCGACAAAAATTTCGATAAATATGTTTTTTTTTGTGAGATATTTTGACGAAATTTAGATTCCGTAAAGAATTCTGACAAAAATAATTTTCCGTCAAAATTTTTTTATAGATATATTTTTCGTCAAAAATTTTTGCGAAATTTTTTGATGAAAATATTTTCGGTAAAAAAATGTGACGTAATTGTTTTACGTCGAAACTTTTTGATGAAAATATGTTTCGTCAAAATTTTGGACAGAAATATTTTCGTTGAAAGTTTTGACGGAATTTAGATTCTATTAATAATTTTGAATGAATTTCTTTTTTCGTAAAAAAATTGTCAGTAATTATGGCAAAATCTGGTTCCGTCTCTAATTTCGTCTTTAGTTTTGACGGAAATTTTTTGACGTATATGATTTTTATCAAAAATTTCATCACTCTTTTTTGACGAAATATTTTTCGTCGATAATTCTGACAGTATTTGAGACTTTTCTAATAATTTTACATTTAAAAATAATCCACATTTATGTAATTTTCATATTTTAATGGTAAGGGTAGATAAATAATTTTTAATATTTCTCACCTCAAACCCCCCAAATTAGGAGAACTTTAATTTTAAGAAGAAGGAGGGGTTTGGAGGGTTTAGTAAAAATCTCCAATTCTTTTCCTTCTTTTTTTTAAACTCACAAATAAGGGAGGGGCTTACTAAAACTCTCCCTTTCTTTTTCTTCCCCTCCTAAAATCAACTCCCAAACAAAGCCCTCACTGTATGCATTTATATGCATTTATTCTACCCATTCCTTTATCATGTGAATTCCAAATTTTTTTCCTATTGAGTAGATAATATAGGAGCCCTGACTATATCCTCCATCTTCTGACATGATATATCACCTGCGCATTATATGTACCATGTATTACGTTTGATACTATATTTGTACTAAGTTTGATACAAGAGCAAAAACTTCTGATATACCTCCTGCGCATTATATATGCCACCAGCGCATTATATGTAAGAATCTTATTTTGTATTAAGTTTGATACAAGAGCAAAAACTTGCATATTTCTATTGGAGTAAGGATATTCTAAATATCAAAAATTCTGACTATTAACTTACTACTCATCACATCACCATTGGATCAAAGAGAAAGAATATTAAAAAGTTTTTGAAGTGAGAGAAAATGTTAATTTAATAGTGATTATGAGAACATCTTCCATACATCTGTAATAGGTAACTCTTCCATTAAACAACTGACATTTGGATAAAAAAAATATTTATCTCTCCTATGTGTACAAATATCATAATTATTTATGGATTTCTATTGGCTGGTAGCACCAAACAAATGGTACTACACTAGTATATTAGATATTTTCGGTGATTAGATAAGTAGTAAGTTAGTAGTGAAAATTTTTGGTAGTGAGAATATCCCTCCTTATACCAAAGATTTCTAATACTACATTATCTTATTCTCTATTAAGCTTCTTCGGAAACAATTTTCTCACTTTCAATTACTAATCAGTTAAGCTAGCTATCGGGTGCCTTAATAATCATTACCTTAAAAAGAAAACGATACTCCGATGCATTCAAAAATTTTATTCCATGAAAAAATGGCAACCCAGAGAAAAGGAAACATGTATAAAGTCAGAACATGCTATACAATTTTGAATAATTGCAATAGGAAAATCATCCGTTTACAAATTTTTGTAAATTACACTATGTACTCCTCGAAATACATACTGTAATCTAGTGTACTTCTGAAAATACATAGTACTGTTTGTAAACAAATTTTTTGTAAATATAACCCTTCTCATTGCAATATGCATTTAGTTAAATCAAATTGACCACCTTAATTAGTGATCGGGGGGAAATTGTAATTTTATGGTGGTTTAAATTGTGGCCATTCATGCATAAAACATGTCACATGGGAAGATCTTAATCATACAAAGGTGAATCAACAGTGATAAAAGAAAAATAAAAAAATATATATTGGAATAAAAAATTATAAAATCATCACCGTTTATTTATTCATTGATGGTTAAGATCCTCTCAAATGATATAATTAATATTTTAAATAACATGAGGATCTATTTCCTAACTTTTGTCCAAGTGTTAAAAACAGAACAATTATTGTATATTATAAGGGTTTTGCATTTGTCATGTTGCATGACAAATGCAAAGTTTCTTACACATACATCGATATTTGTGCTGTATTTTTTTCTTTTTCTTTTAATTTTAAACATGGTGAACCCCACACTTATTGTCTCTATAGCATGACAAGAAAATTGTCTTACAACATGATATTTGTTTTTCCTATTTTATAAATGCAAAATTGTTTAGTGAAAGGCTAACGTTGAAACATTACTTTGCTGCAGCTTCTTCGAACAAAGTATAGTTGCAAAATATCAACCGATTGTCCTAGAAGTGAAAGGATTCTTAAAGAAAGTGAAAGCAAAGGAATTCTACTGAACGACTTTGTGACTGTGAGTCTTGATGGCACAGACAACTTCATTTCCATTGGAGATGCTATTGCTGCTGCACCCAATAATTTAAAGTCAGAAGATGGCTATTTTCTTATCTATGCAAGAAAGGGATACTATGAGGAATATGTCACTGTACCCAAACGAAAGAAGAATATCTTGCTTATTGGTGATGGTATCAACAAGACATGCATCACAGGAAATCATAGTGTCATTGATGGCTGGACAACTTTCAATTCCTCAACCTTTTGTAAGTAAATATTCCCCCTTTTGTGTTTAAAATTCAACGCGGTGCTCTCTTCAAAAGTGTTGAGATATATATAGTCCAACGTTGGTTCTATGTGCAACTAATGTGGAGTTTATAAGGTCTTGGACACTCCCACCTGTTGAGCTAGCTTTTGGGGTGGTGACCTCAAGGTTCTTTACATGGTATCAGAGCCTCGCCGCCGCCTACTTTCTCTTGGTGGCGTTTCTTAGCACAGGTAAGCTGGGCCTGTTGCGTTGTCCACTCTTCAAGCCCAATGAGCTCTTGTGTGAGGAGGCGTGTTGAGATATATAGTCCCACATTGGTTGTATGTGTAACTAATGTGGATGTAGAGTTTATAAGGCCTTGAACACTCCCACTCTTTGAGCTAACTTTTGGGGTGGTGTATCCCAAGATTCTTTACAAAAAGAATACGTAAACTTTTTTAATTTTAGATGAGAAATGATAAATGAATATAAAGAAATCTCTCTTGACCTCACGTTAAATGAAATAAATAGCTGAGAAATTTTACATTTTGTAAAAAAAATTCAATGAAAACTTCTCAACAACTCATTTTTCTTTAAGTGAGGATTATGTTATGTCACATTTCCTTATCTAAATTTATCATTTCACTTTTCACGGTGGAGTATACATTGATAGATGTTAACCCTCTTCCACCTAAATTCATTGGCGAAGACAGGTCTACATCTTACAACAATTCAAGAGATATCAACCAAAATTAAAAACTTTTCCTTAACTTACATTTAACTTCAAAAGTTTTGGCTAACTGGTTTTTCAATTTGCATGTACTTTGTGTTTTATTTATTTATTTATTTTGTATATTATCCATCCGTTCTGCAATCTCTCATTCAATTCGAGTCAGGTAGGATTATATGGACGAAAAAGCTCTCCCCACCAAGTATTAATATAACTGCATTTCTAGAAACTCGAACTCAAGACCGTTAATTTAGCCGGAACAATCCTTTACCATTGATTGATTCACGTGCTTGCTGGTAACACAGACTTTGTGTTGACCCACGGTTGTATAAAGATTTTATACTATTGTATAATCATATACGTTGCCACGTTATTAAGAGTTTGACTATGTCAACACATCAATAAATATAATAAGAGTGATCAAAATCAATCCCGATTCACTTCTTGACAGAAACTATATCTAAAATTATGTTAAAATAAAATAAGAACTTAATATTAAACTGTTATGCTAACCATGTTTTCTCTTTTTCAATTAATGAAACAGTGTTTGTTCTTCGCTGTATGATTTATTGGTTTATATTATCTTTAACACGTCCTCTTCATATAAGAACTCATTGGGCTTGAAGGGGGACAATGCACAGCCCATCTACCTGTGCTAAGAAATTTCACAAGAGAAAATAGGCGGCGGCGAGGATCGAACCCGGGACACCGAAGTTTTGATACCATATAAAGAACTAATTCAACCCAAAAACTTAATCTAGTGGGTGAGGACCTTTTTAATGGTTTATATTATCTCTAACAGAAACTATATCTAAAATTATGTTAAAATAACGTAAGAACTTAACATTATACTGTTATGTTAACCATGTTTTCTCTTTTTCAATGAATGAAACAGTGTTTGTTCTTCACAGTATGATTTAATGCAATGCCATATTTTATATATTTAATGCAGCTGTCTCTGGACAAAGATTTATTGCAGTGGATATTACATTCAGAAACACAGCAGGACCTGAGAAGCACCAAGCAGTGGCAGTGAGGAACAATGCTGATCTCTCCACATTCTATCGATGCAGTTTTGAAGGATACCAAGACACTCTTTATGTTCACTCTCTCAGGCAATTCTATAAGGAATGTGATATCTATGGTACTGTGGATTTCATTTTTGGCAATGCTGCTGTGGTCTTTCAGAGTTGCAACATCTATGCCAGAAAACCATTGCCAAACCAGAAAAACACTGTCACAGCACAAGGGAGAACTGATCCAAGCCAAAACACTGGAATTTCAATACAAAATTGCAGGATCGATGCTGCACCAGACTTGGCTGAGGACTTAAATTTAACAGAAAATTACTTAGGTAGGCCATGGAAAAAGTATTCAAGAACTGTGTATATGGAGTCATATATTGGAGATTTAATTGATCCTTCTGGATGGTTAGAGTGGAATGGCACAACTGGGTTAGACACCCTCTTTTATGGTGAGTTCAACAACTATGGACCTGGTGCTAATACCAGCAAAAGGGTAAAATGGCGTGGTTACAATTTGTTGAATGCTACTCAAGCTTGGAACTTTACTGTTCTTAATTTTACCATGGGGAATACATGGCTTCCGGATACAGATATACCCTACTCTGGAGGACTATATTAGATAATTTAATTTATAGTGAACTGAAAAATTTGATTTTTTATCTGTAAGATGTAATGTAATTATAACATTATTCAATTTTAGAGAGAGCTTTGAAGAGGGATGAGGGCTAATTATGTCAAGAATGTTTGGATGAAATTCAAAAATTTATATCTGGGATGAAGTTATCATTATTGATTGTTTAGAACATCCTCCGAGATTCATAAGGCATTGGAACAATTTGATATGTGCATAGGTTGTTATATCTAGTTGATGTGGCTTGATTACCATTAACATGTGACAACAAAATTCTAGACTCTATTGATTGGTTGCAAGCTTGAAGGTTAAATATTAAGGCCTTGTGCTTTGTTTCTTTCCATTTCCATTTATTAATAAAATATATCATATATATACAGATTTCAGTAAGTGCCTCTAGTACAGATAGAAACAGAGATTGATGCAAATATAGTATGAAAATGGGTACTGAAAATGCTTCTAGTAGGTTCAAACAGTTTCAAAAGAAGCCTCAAATTAAATTAGTCAATATATAGTGTCAAATGAATAATGCAAAACAAGAAGATTACAGACAAATTTGTAAAGGAAGGATTGCATCATATTTTATGTATGCATCACAAAGTTGTTACATATAAGGATTAAAGGGGGCACCCGAAGCTGGAATCCATCTTCTCCCTGAAAGAAAGGTATTAACTGTAAACATGCTTGCTTGTTTACTAGTAATGGAGGTTTTCACACCCTTCCACTTAACCCTATTCTTTGTTGAAGCACCTGGTCCAACATTCTGAAATTCTGCATAAAATATGGTATCTGGTGCTGAGTTCCCTACCCATGGTAACCAGCCACTTGGATTAATGAAGCTTGCCATTGTGGATTGCATATAAACTGTGGTTGCATAATTCTTCCAGGGTCTTCCAAGGTATGTTTTGACAGAATTTAAGTTCCCAAAGGGTGAAATGGTACAATTTTGAATTGAAATTCCTGTGTTCATATTGGGGTCAGTTTTACCTTGTGCTGTGATTGTGTTCTGCTGGCCCTGCATTGGAACCTTTGGCAAAATGTTGCAGTTTTGGAAAACAACAGCAGAATTGCCAAAAATGAAATCAACTGTTCCATAGATGTTGCATTCCCTGTAGAATTGGCGATTGGCTACAGCATATAGAGTGTCCTGAAATGCATCAAATTGACACCTGTAGTAAACTGCTTGATCAGAAGTTGTCATTAGTGCCACTGCCTGGTGCTTCTGTGGACCAGCTGTGTTGTGAAATCCCATGTCCATAGCAATGAAATTTTTTCCAAACACAGCTGAAATTCACCAAATAAAGAAACAGAAAATATTACTTAATTTTCCGAGTTATGTTTTATTACTCAACCAACTCTTCCAAAAGCTTAAATTATTGGGCGAAGGCACATGAATGCTTTTTACCAGATTTCTTACCATGTCACACAACTAACTCTCTCAAAAGCTTAAACTATTGGGTGAAGGCAGATGAATGATTTTTACCAGATTTCTCAATACAACCAACTCTCCCAAAAAATTAAATTATTAAGTGAAGGTTAAGTTTTTATTATATGTTTGAAAATGTATAAAAACAATACAGATACATTTTAATTTCAATTTAATGAAGAGTATATATAACATACCAAATGTTGCAGTTGAAAATGTTGGGGTGCCATCCACAAAGTTAAGGCTTCCAGAAACAATTGTAGCACTCATACCATCACCAATGATCATGACATTCCATTTGGTCTTCAGCACCCTCACATTTTCGTAGTAAACCCCCTTCTTCACATAGATTACAGTCCTCTTATCACTTTTGTCAGGAACTTTTTTAAGTGCAGCAGAAATTGTTTTGTATTTCCCACTGCCATCTTTCGCCACAACAATGTCAGCTTTTCTCTTCAAATAATCTGTTTGAAGTAGCTCCCGGTCTTTAGAATGAAGCCACTTTGGTTCTTCATTCTGATAAGGCAAACTCAACAAACGCCTCCTCAAGTTCACAGTGCTTGCAGCCTTGTCAAGCCAAGTAACTATGGCAAGACTGTTACTGGTGAACTCTCTAGAATTTTTTAGATTGCTAACAACACTGTTCTTCAATTCTTCTTTTGCCTCCTCAATGCCATCAATGCAAGTCTGTTGGTAAGTACCTGTTTCAGCAAACGCATTAAAGATCTTCAATAGTACTTCCTTTTGCGGAACTGTAGTATTTATGAGGGAAAATTAGATTCTTCTTTTTTATTTATTTGTTAAATTCTCAAATTCCAATAACAAGAGGAGAAATAAGATAAGTAGCATTGCTCCTGACGACGACGATTATATTTATAAATTTTTTATTTTTAAATTCTTATAAATTATATTATATATTTTGGATAGTATAGAGTGTAGTTTGTAAAAGTTTATAAATATAACCTACACCGTTGACCAAAAATTAGTTGTTAAAAATGATGAAAATTTAAGGATTTTAATATTAGGCTATATTTTTCTCATGTTACATGAGATAGCATTATCTCATGTAGAGACATAATTAGGTGAGTCCAACAACTATAAAAAAGAAGAAATGTTAGTTCGAACTTCAATGAATGTATAACATGAGATAAATTTTTCTTGTAACATGAGAAAAACATTTATCGTTAATGTTTGAGTTATGTGCCATACATATACCAAATAAATTTTGTAATGGGAGCAAAACATAAAATGTGAAGTATCAACTTACCTTGTTGTAAGAATAATAAGTGTTACATTAAATTTGAATTATTAATCTACTTGCATCAAATAACTCAAATTTATTAATTATGTGAGTAATTAGACGCAAACAGATCAACGACTAATATGGATACTATTATAAAATAATCATATTCCAAATATAAAATGCATTCATGATGAATGTAAGTTTACAAAATACTCAATAAATAATACCTGCAGCACTCAACCAAGTTCTAAGATCATCCAAAACAACAAGAAAGGAAGAATTTCCCCCAGCAGACAAAGAGCTATTGAGATGATCAATTGCTTGACCCATAAGATCCTGGCAATTCTGAAAAGCTTGCTTGGTGTTGTTATCATTCAAGCCACTGAAAACACCCTGATCAGAGAAATACTGAACAGCTCTTGAAACCTCAGTTAAGGCCACATTGATTGACAGCAAGAACAGATCCACGGGTTGAACCTGGCCTGAGTGCACAAGAGGACTAAGGCTTCTATAGCATGCGTCCTTGTACAATGTCACATCACAAACAGCACTCACCGCATTCGAAAAAGTTTGAGCTTTGTTATCTTTTGAGTTGTTGCGAGCAACAGTTCCAAATACAGCAGCACACACAATACCAATAAGGACTATTGTGGACAAGCTTATGATGGTGATTCTCTTTCTGGTTTTTCGGCGAACTTCGAGAATGGCTTGGTCAGCATCATCAACTTTACCATAGGTGTTTAAGAAAGACATGGTTTAAGGCTAGCTTATGTTGCTTTATGTTAATTTTGCGGTAGTGATCTTTGGTAACACTAACAGGTTTGTATATATATATATATATATATATATATATATATATATATATGTATGCATATATATATATAGAGAGAGAGAGCGTAACGCGGTTTTACGTGCAAGGCACTAACCCATTTAGTTTGGTGCATGTTGAATAATGGAGTGGCCAACATGTTACACATTTATGTATTGTTTCATGGTTCACCAGTTATGATTACTATTTATATATTTTCTAATAGTGTTCATTCTTTCTAGTAAATAAATAAAGGGTTTATCATCTATCATTTAACATGACCACAAAAATTTTCCTACACACACAACATTTTGTGGGGCCCGCAGCAAAAAAAAAAAAAAAACTTCGGCACGCAAAACGAATCTCTATAACATAACACAATCACTTTTCCTACAACATAACTCTTATAAAACCCATAAATAAATGTACATATTGTCTGAAACTTGAAGTAGATCATCACGCCGAACGTAATAGTATATAAAGCAAAGCAAGTCAAAGGAGTGGGTAAAAATTATTTTCGGAAAAGAGTTTTGGTTTTTATTTTTTTTGGATAACCGATCCTAATACCTCTTTGAGGCAAATCAAATCCCCAGGAGTCTTAACGAGTTCGACTCTTTGAACTATCTATAAGACTAATCCGAAATTCAGTCCTTGATTTTCGATTAGAGTATTTCTTATCCCTCCTCAATGTGGAGTTTGATGGGATTCAAATAGTAGTTCTTGTCCTCACCTTGCTCAGTCCCCCTACAACCAAATGAGCTGCCCCACTTGGGTATAGTTTTGGTTTGTTATGCGACAAGCAATTAAAACATATGTTATTAATTAAGGAAAAAATATTTATCCTTTTAAAGGATATAACTTTGTATCATTTTAAATCCTTGTAAGAATCCGCACCGTTAATTAAGAAAGTTAATTAATTAATTAAGAAAAATTAGGAAATAATTCCATAATGGATCCTAATAATTATTATGAGGCTTTAATAATTATAGTAAGTGAGTAATAATACTGAAAGTCGCTTTTCGGACGAAAAGTGCAGATACCAGTTCCGCTACTCGGTATAAATGCGTACTGGTGAAGTATCCCGGAAAATTATGAAAAGTGTGTATATGTCACTAGAATAATATAAAGGACTTGTTAAAAAAGTTTCAAGTTAAAATAATGAGAACTGGTGCCAGAACTGATACTGGCTATGGAAAAGTGCATACCGGAAAGGTGCTGCGAAAAATAAAATAAAAATATGAAAAATCTTAGAAAAATAAGTAGGTTCAGATTCCAAAGTTTGGGATCGAAATTCTAAGCGTAGCAATTAGCGTTAATACTGTACAATTAAGACTTAAGTGACTATATATACATTAGTTTGGCACTAAAACCTAGGCCATACACTCTTCATACGTGACTCTTGAGGGGCTGGTCAGCTGGTGCTTGGTTCTATTGTCTTCCTTCACCATTTTCTTGACCAAGCTGTCACCTTTGCTTGAGTTCTTCACCTTTGAGCTTGTATATACTTGAGAGCTATCATTGTGAGAGGGTGAGGGTGCATATTGTAACACCCCGTATATATCCGGTAATGTTATCATACTATCGTATTAAGCTGCGCTTAATTAAAAATGCGGAATATCTTTTTCTTTTCAATTATGATGTCATTATCATTACCAACTTGCTTATTAATCAATTAATAAAACATTGCCTGTATGTAATTGTAATAAAACAGCTAACTGAAATACCTCATAACATAGATAATAAAAGTGTGGCTCTAGTCACAGAACTACAACAACGTAGACCGGACCGTCTAGCAGTTTATACAACTCCAATCTAAAAGTACTACATAAAGTGTCATGGACAATCCCCATGCTCACTCAAATAAGGCAACACGCCCAACATCAGTCTCAACAACAACAACAACATAAATAGCGGAAAACATAAACAGCAACCAAAAACTAGCCATGGCAGCAATACAGCATAATATCAATATCAGCTAAGCTCTGTCCTCCTGCCGCCAGAGGCATCAGTCACCATACTACCTGAACCTGAAATAAACATTCCCCAAACATGGGGTGAGATCTCTAAACAAGAAATCTCAGTAAGACAAGGGGTCCTCAAGGATCTTCCACCCCAAGCTCACTTACATATGCAATATAAGTTCAAAAGCAGTTCATCAATATCATTTCTAAACAATGCAATGCAGCAGATAATCATGTCATGTGTGTCAATTCTATTCTACTGGCCAGAGAAATGCATGATTTATATACGCCAAATACCCACACATAGTGCAAGACGCCACTTGCATTCACCCCGGATCACCATATCGTATGACGCCATATACTCAGGCTTACCGTCAAGATGAAACAACACATGCATATTAAAAGCCATTACACATAAAGCTCAACAGCATTTCAAATGTTCAAAGCATGTAACACAGCATGCATATAACCACACCCCATGGGACATGGTGGAACCACAACATGGCTAAACCGAGGACACGAAAGCTTACCTTGTAAACTAGCTATCCAAAAACCAAGAGTCCACAGCTCAAAGTCCAAACTCAACAGATTCACAATCTGTTATGGACCAATAACTCATCAACAATAATACTCTACAAGTATATAACTTAAAGACAACGCCTTTTATTACGCTTTACGTCTTAAAGCTTCTCACCAAGCCATAAGTCCTTAATCACTTAGATTCTGACTTAGATAATTAATTACAGAAGTTCAACTTCATCACACTAGGGTCCACAAACCCAAACATCAGTTCCGGATGAACAGTACGCTACTGTTCATCGCAAACCCATAATATCCGGATATTCCTCGGGACCATATCCGGGTATGCAATATCCGGATATCTCACTGGACATATCCGGATATGCAATATCCGGATATCCAGAATCCCATATCCGGATATCTAATATCCGGATACCCAAAACCCATATCCGGATATCACATATCCGGATATCACATATCCGGATACCATATTCGGATATTTCACGGGCACATATCCGTATATTTCACGACAGAATGCAGAAAATGCATTTCGTGAAGATATCCTTCCAAGGTTCTATTTTTAACACTTAATTACGTTAAAGCATGCATCTTTATACTGATTAAGGTCCACACCCCAGTTGGTTACTTGGTTAACTCACTAAACATGCAAAGATCACACATTTAACCCATTAAAACACAAGCTCAAGGTAGGTACAACTCACCAAAGCTCAAAACAGAGGATCAATGGCTCTTGGAGCTTACCACACTGCCTCTACAGGTTCTGGAAATAAGGTGTACGAAAATGCAACACAAAAGGTTGGTCCTTTCTTCACAAAGAAGCTTCTTTAAGCTCCAAAATTCCACCACAAAGGCTCAACACTCTCAACCCCCAAAGTCAGCAACCAAGGACCCTCCAAACAGAGGTAAAAACCCAGAATGATGCTCCCAACACACTCACCATAGTGTTTCCCACTCACTCAAGGTGTCTACAAGAAGAAAGTGTGAAGAAAATGGCTTCAAACCTCAAGGAAGGAGAAGAGAAGTCTATGGAACAGAGTTTCAAGGTTCTGGTCAGCCACTCTCACGCACAAAAACTGAGGTCCTAGGGTTATATGCCAATCATAAGGCTATATATAGTGGTTTAACAATTAAACACACAATATTAACTTTAATTGCTACGCTTAGCATTTTAATCCCAAACTCTGGATTCTTAACCTACTCCATTTTACAAGAATTATCATATTTTTCTTATAATTTTCGGAGCACCTTCTCGGTATGCGCTTTTCAAAGCCAGTACCTGTTTCTAGCACCAGTTCTCAATATTTGGACTTGAAACTCGTTTTACAAGTCCTACATATTATTCTAGTAATTAGCAAGCATTTATTATAATTTTCCGGGATACTTTTTCGGTACACATTTATACCGACTAGCAGAACCGGTATCTGCACTTTTCTTCCGAAAAGCGACTTTCAACATTCTTAATCACTTACTATAATTATTAAAGCTTCATAATAATTATTAGGGTCAATTATAGAATTATTTCCTATTTTCACATAATTAATTAATTAAAATTCCTTAATTAACGGTGCGGGTTCTTACATTCATCCCACCTTTTTAGAATTTTGTCCTCAAAATCAGAATATACCTGTCTCGGAAGTCGGGATACTGCCGGAGAAGCTCGTCCTCTCGCTCCCAGGTACACTCCTCAGGAGTCCTTCCTGACCATTGCACTTTGACCATCGGAATGATCTTGCTCCTCAGCTGCTTCTCGCCACGATCGAGAATCTTGAGTGGTCCGACGGGAGTCTTTAGGTTCTCCCGAACCTCCACATCATCCAGTTGCACCACGTGTGAAGGATCCGCTACGTACTTCCGAAGTTAAGACACGTGAAACACGTCGTGGATGTTGGCTAGGTTCGGAGGCAAGGCAAGCCGGTAGGCAACAGGTCCTACTCTATCAAGAATCTGGTATGGCCCAATAAATCGCGGGCTCAGCTTCATCACCCCGAGTGCCTGTCCAACACCGATGACAGGTGAAAGTCTCACAAACACGTGCTCACCCTCACTGAACTCCAGTGGACGATGCTTGACATCGTAGTAGCTCTTCTGGCGATTCTGCGCCTGCTTCAGCTTTTCCCTGATCATTTGGATCTGTAAGGTGGTATCTTGGACAAAGTCCAAGCCAAACAACTCACGATCCCCAACCTCAGACCAGCAGGTAGGTGTAAGACACCTCCTACCGTAGAGCGTCTCGTAGGGTGCCATGCCCAGGCTAGCATGAAAATTGTTGTTATACGAAAACTCCACCAATGGAAGGTACCTATCCCATGCCGAGCCCTGCTCCAACGTGCAAGCCCGCAACATGTCCTCCAAGGTTTGGATAGTCCGCTCAGTCTGTCCATCAGTCTGAGGGTGATAGGCTATACTCAACCTCAACTGAGTACCAAAAGCTCCCTGCAGCGCCT